AAGGCTCTGTCTCCCATGCTTCAAACAGCAGAAGTATCTTCCCTCAGTGAGAAAATGATTGAAAATAACCAGCTGTTTCAGGATCTCTATCAAAACACACACAATAATCCCAAAGAATTCTTCCCCATTTAACACTGTCAGGTTAAAAAGTCAGCTTAGGAAATGAGACTAAACTTTCTTTTCATAACACTCAATGAACCATTTCCACAATATATTTAGAGAGGACATATGCATTTCTTAAAGCAGATTTAAAATAATCTGGAAAGAAATTGAAGTAAATTTTCTTAACTCTTCAGCTGCTTCCTTTTCAAGAGGAAGCCAATTCTGAGTTTACGAAAGAATATTTTTTAAAAATTATTTTCCTGATAGAAAATCAGTCAACCCGCAAGTGTAAAGGGTACTCACCATTTTTTTCTCTACACCTTCAAAAAATCACAAAGCATTTTATAAAATTCCTTAGAAAAAAAAGTAACTGCCTAGACATAGTTATACCTTATTTATTGCATTACATTGTGATTCTGAAAAGCCACATTCACTTAGGGTTTTTCTAAGTGGGCTTGTCATTTAATTGCTTTCTATTTAAAGCTTCCAGGTGAATCCTTCTGTAAATAAAGGTTCTGGTTGATATAAGGAGGCTAATATCAAGGAATATTGCTTCTAAATCAACTCCTAAAAGGTATCTATTTTTAAAAGTTTAGATTTTTATGTGGATTTCTTGATTAGTGACTCTAGAAGCCAGACTAACTCTCTCCGACATGATTTATTTGTAAATACAGGAATAAAAGACTTTGTACATTGATGTGTCTCTAACTCATGCAGAATATTACCAGGGAAATTTTCTGCCTTGATCTCAAACAACATACCAAATCCAAATTCAGTGTCTTTTGGGGTTCAAAGCAAGCTAGTTTTCTCAATGTCCAAGTATCTGTCGATTGCAACTGTATCCTCTACACCTAAATCTCAGAATCCCTAAATTTTAACATCTTAGATCTTCTTGAAAAATCTCAAACACCCATTCTACGTTCCTTCACGAGTCCTCCAGCCACCAAGTGCTATCTGTCAGTCAGACTATGCAGTCAAGACTTCCCAAGCGTCCAATACGAAGGAACTTAACATCTGGGAAAATATGCCCAGGGGATAGTGCTGTTACTAAGTTATCAACCTTAAGCAAAGAAGGGAAAGTCAGGCTAAAACCTTAAGAAATAGAGCAAAATATGTGAATTTAACACAGCCAAAAGAAGACATATTAATTCTCTCCCACTTCCCCTCAGTATTTGCCATCTTTTACTTCCATAGTTCATGCTCAAAAGAAAGAATCTGGGTATTGTTCTGTATTCTGCTCTTGCCCTAGCCACATGTAATTCAAAATGCTACCAACTCTGCCTTCAAAAAGCATTCCTCCTCTCAAACACTTGTCTACTACTCGCTATTAAAATTCTAATCAAGTCTCTCATATCAGCAATCTCTTCTCTAGATTCTAGTCACAGATTCCTCCCCAATGTACCTGCCTCTCCTTTTGCCTCTATAATCAATTCTAAAGGCAGAGTGATTTTTAAAAACAGAAATTACATTTTATCTTACTCCTCTTGAAGACTTTCCAGTTGTTTTACTTTCTAAATCGAGGAACATTCTACCTTATTACAATGGCAACACCTCATCTAGCCTCTACCTAGTTTTCAGATTGCCTCCTTTCACTTTTCTGTGGCTTACCATATTCAAGCTCAACTGACCCTCTCCCGTTACCGGATTATACCAGGTTCATTTCTGTCTTGAGACCAGCACACTAGTGTGCTTTATACCTAAAATATTCTTTCCCAATATTTTGGGAAATATTGCAGCTGTCTACTTTTTGCCATTCAAATGTCTGTTTGAATGTCATCTTCTCAGAAAGGCCACTTTAACACTCTGCCTAAATTTACCCCAGTCACTCTCTGCACATTACCTTATTTCGATTCTCTACTTACTTTCCTATGGATATATTCATTTATTTGGTCACTGTCTGTCTGTCAACAAATACATTGTAAGCTTCATCAGGGCAGGGACCTTGTCTCTCTTGCTAACTGCAATGCATCTAGCATTAGAGTGAGTGTGGCCTTTAACAGGAATACAATTAATTTGTTGAGTAAATGAAAGAATGAAAAATGGAGAAAAAAGAGAAATTAGGTCAGAACACATAAAAAGGGGAAGTAGAAACAAAATGAGTAGAGATAGAGCTGATGCTTCTTTCACAGTTGAAGCCCATAAATGTGGGGTTTCTTCAGTGGCTTTTCCACTACAAGGGAAGAGTTGGCTTTGAAAGGAATAAAGTCACTGAATGCTATCAATTATTCCATGAGAATGTCTTTTCAAACTCTTCCCCTCTTGACATTTCTACCTCCATTCACATGACCCTTTCTCTTGGTTCTCTATGCTTTCCTAGCTGGACCACCTTGTTCTGATTTTGACTATTCCCAGTCCATCCACTGCACTGGTGCCAAATTAATCTTACTAAAAACAGTATGCATGATGTCACCTTCCAGCTCAAAACACTCTTCAAGTGGTTCTCATTATCTAAGGGTAAAGGTCAAACATTTTAGTTTAGCACAGAAGACCGTGAGATTGCACCCAGACGACCCTCCCAGCCTTATCTCCCCTGGCTCCTCAACAGGAGCCCAGTCCTAGTGAAGCTGGGGACTCCTTAGCCCCTCGAACACATGTTGTCCATTCCCTGTCTCGCTCATGTAACTTAGGCTGAAGAAAATCTTCTCCTCTTCTATTCAGCTTTCAACCAGTGGTCATGGTCCAGACAGAATCCCAAAGGATCTTTTTTAAAAAATCCTAAAATGCTTATTATTCTTTATTGTTTCTTTGGCCATTATCATACATTACTTCTAAATGATCTTTATTTTTTCCTTTACTTAAGTCTTGTTTCCTTGGAGGCTAAAAATATATTTTTCTATTTTTTTTCTCACTCCTCTCAACTCATACCTAGAAAATATTTTTTTTCTTTACTTTTTCACCATACTCAAACTCAAATTTTGAGATGTTACTGAAAATCTTACCCTACAGAGACTGTATTTACTCATCTGGAAGGAGGGATGATAATGGCAAGTTTGCAGAATTGGTACAGGAATTAAATGAGATAATGCATGTAAGAAGTTTAGCACAGTGCCTAGCATTTATAAAGGTTATTATATTCATCTAATGCAATAAATTAGGTTAACAAATTGATTAATAAATTAATTAATCATTTACTTAGAAACTGTAAAACACAGCTGGTTATGATATGGATTTATTTATATTGCAAGTACATCGCTCAAAACATACGTATAGTAAACACAAGTTAATCTCCTTTTTTTTTTTTTTTGAGACAGAGTCTCACTCTATTGCCAGGCTGGAGTGCAGTGGCTCGATCCTGGCTCACTGCAACTTCCTTTTTCCAGTTTTAAGCAATTCTCCTGCCTCAGCCTACCGAGTAGCTGGGACTACAGGCACTCACCACCATGCCTGGCTAATTTTTTGTACTTTTTAGTAGAGACAGGGTTTCACCAGGTTGGCCAGGATGGTCTCAATCTCTTGACCTCGTGATCCACCTGCTTTAGCCTCCCAAAGTGCTGAGATTACAGGAGTGAGCCACTGCACCTGGCCCAGTTAATCTTTTTTAAAAGAATATGAGTTCTGATTTCTACTACCATCACCATGACCTGTAATCTGACCCAGTAATTCTTAACCTCTTGTCGGACTGAAACCCCATGGAAAATCTGATTAGAGCCCTTGGATCTCTCTCTAGAAAAATATGCATAGATTAAAAATATTTTAAATAACTTCAGAGAGCTAATTGTCCCTTCTAGCCTATGCGGAAATTGTGTCAATCTATTCAAACTTTATCAAGCCCTAAAGCCCCATGTCCAGAAACCCAGTGTCAAGACTCTTTTCACTCTATCCATTCCTGGTTCTTTGACAACAACAGAACATTGATCACCCACTGCTAATCTGCACAGAAGGCATGAACTCACTTTTTATTTTTTAAGGCAGATTAAATGAAGTAAAAGAAAACCAAAAACCAAAATAATGAAGAAATATATTTCTTTTAACACTTTTGCAACAAGTGCATTAGGATGCTTTCATGTTGCATTTCAAAAACACAGACCACTCATTTTTGGCTATTTCCTTTCTACACATGAGACAGAAATTATAATATCAAAGGAAATCCCAAGTTCACCTTCAAATTTGGGGTTTTAGTTTTCAGAAAAAAGGTTTCTCTCTCTTTCTTTTCTTTTCTTTTCTTTCTTTCTTTCTTTCTTTCTTTCTTTCTTTCTTTCTTTCTTTCTTTCTCTCTTTCTCCTTCTTTTCATTCATTCCTACCTGGTTTAAAGTTATTGAATACATGCTCAGTACCATGCCTTTTGCTAAAAATTGGGAAGACAGTAACGAGCAGCACTCTGCCCTAACAGATCTTACATTCTCTGGAAAAATACAACATTACTAAATACTATGTGGATGAATAAGTAGTAACAATATAATATGTACATATATATATATCAACATGGACAACTATTGTATATATATCAGTATATATACAATATATCAACATGTACATGTATATATACATGTACAACTATTAGTTGTTGTAGTATATATCAACATGGACAACTATTGGATGCTATCAGATTATACAACTGGAGAAGAAAAGCTCCTCCAGGGATCAGACGAAGTCTCTTGGAGAAAGACACATTTTTAACTGAGATTTGAAGACTGGGTAGGAGTCAACCAGATGAAGTGTGTGGGATGAGGGGACTGGGATGGTGTGATAGGAGAGTCACCAAGGTAGGAAAGAACATCCTAAGAACTCAAATAACACTAGCGCTGTTGGAAGGTGGGAGAATTATGGAAAGCATTGTAAGTCATACATTCATTAGGAATCCTGCTGATTTCAAGTCATAGATAAGTAACAATGGCTTTAAAATGTGGATTGAATTTTTCTTATATAACAGGAATTTTAGAGATGAGCAATTACCCACACTGTTTCAGCTATTATTGATATCACCAGTGACCCTATTTCTTCTGCTCTACCTGCTTTCATGATGAGTGCAATGTCTTTCAGTCTCATGCCTGCCATTTCATGATCATAAGATAGCTACTAAAGCTCCAGGCATCACTACCATATTCAAGGCAGGAAAAAATGAAGGAAAAGTGGCAGCACTGGCTTCATCTCTCAGGCGGTCATGGGGAAAATTGACTGAAGAGGAAAAGATGATAGGCAGTGATAGAAAGATATTGACCTTGTATAAAATGCCTGAGATGTCAATGGAGATGATGGTAGTAGAGAGGGGCAGAAGAGGGATTCAGGAAACAGAAATTTAGAATGACTCTAACTATTTATATGATTGTTATAATAGCAAACGCAATTATATGTGTGAATGCACTTTAACACTATGAAGTTTTATACCAGATTTGTGCATTTTAAGGTCAGAATTTTACTAACTTGTTATTAAGATACATGTTGTCCTTGAACTTAAAACTCCTCTCTATTATTGGAACTCTTGAAAAATATAAAAGCTGGTTGATTCATTTGGCAAAATAAAACTACTTTCTGATCCTTTTACTTACAAAACTCAAAAGTTCACTTTCATGTAGTGATGTAGAAAAGACAAAAAAATATTCCCAGGTCAACTGTATTTGCTCCTCCCAGCTTAATAAACTAAGTGTGCTTTTGTGCTTGTACAAAGGGGAACCCAATTACAGCATATAAAGGCTAGCCTTAAATGCATGAGGAAAAGCTCCAGTCTCCCTTCAGTAAGGTGAATCATTCTACAGAATAAGGGGGTATGGGCGGCAGGTGGTGGGGCAGGGAGGATAAACCCATATCCTAATGTAAATTTCATTAAAAATTAAAAATTTCTCAGGGTTTTCTATAACTGCTACTCTTGAAATTCATTCCTGGGCTGAACTTTTTTCTTTTATTTCAACTCTCACATTAACAGTCCAATAATAAACCCTTGATTAAAGAAAAAAGATTACAGTGAAAGCGTTGAAATAAGCTTAATTGTAGAGGTGTGATTAATGCCACAGTGATAGACTCCCAGGTAATGATTTTTAAAATTTTATAGGAAATGTTTAACAAGATGATTGCCTGACTATAAAATTCTCTGTGTAAGAAAATAGTCCTTGAAAGCAGCATTGGGCCCTGTTGCACTAATACATCTATGAATGGCAACATTTTTTTTATATTTTTGATGAATGCTAAAGCAGAAACTTTATTATAATGATTTTGGACACAGAACTGTGAAAATAGAGGGCAGAATATGAACATTTTACCAGATCAATCAATTTTCATTTAAAGTTCTACTTATTGTGTATGGTATCAAACTATGAAAATGTAGCATTTCAAACTAGTGATTTCTATCCTACCAAAATTGCAGTACTTATTTGGGTTTTGAAGTAGATAGGATTGGTGTTAGAGACAGCATGGTGTAGCCAGAAAAAAAAAAAAGGAAAAGAAAGAAAAAATAATAATGATTGAAATACCTGTGCTGTAGTTTCTTCTTTTATTTAGTCATTCAATCTAAAAGCATTTACACAAGGTCTAATAATTGTAAGACACTGAAATAGGAAGACCCCAGATGTTTCTTGGTATTCTTCTTAAGAAATGCTCCGGCTCCACAGGGTAGGGACACAGAGGAAGACACATAATTGAAACATCATACATGGTGTGACCCTGTATTCATTTGTAACGAAAACATATAGGTTTATGGGAACATAGAGGAGACAAACTCATCTCAGGAGGGTGTGGATTAAAAAGGGGCTTAGGAAAAGCTTCCAGTAAGCATCAGCACATGAATTAAGACTCAAAGTCTTTGCTTACAAGGGGATTGAGCCAGTTCAAGGAGAGAAAAACATTAGAAAATGGTGCCCCTTTTAAGGAGCTCAAGCAAGTGATATTTCCAGAGTGCAAAAAGTGGCAAGACAAGAGACAAGACAACGTTGATCAACTTTGGTTAACTTCAGGAGAGAAAAGGAAATAATGGAAGGGTAGAGAATGGCTCATAGAGAGTCTTTTAGCCCTCATTAAGGAGCTTGGACTTAATCCTGAAGAAAACAATGAACCATCTGGAAGATGCTATGTTCATATTTATGTTTGAAATCATTTATGTGGATTACTCTACAAAGGGCGGATTTAAAGGAGACCATTAGAATTCTCCTGGCAATGGGCTGAGACAAAGAGGTTGGAGAAGAGCTAGGGAGTATTGGGACATAAAATTTGCAAAAATAGAAAAAAAATCAAGGATACAGGTTAGAGGTCATGCCAAAACTGCCCCCAAGAATAACTAAAACAAAGCTGGTGTGATGGGGAAGGTGATTAGTGCTCAGACAGGAAGAGTTTTAGGCACCAATGAATATCCAGGTGGAAATAACAGGAGAAAATTGCATACATGAGTCAGCAACTCAGGGAAGATTCTGGCTGAAGACTCACTAGAAGTTATCAGCATGCAACATAGCTGCACTAGGAGGGCATTTGGCTGCTGAAAGTTTGCTTGTTAATACTGCTACTCAGGGAGAGCTGTGGCATGAAAGGAGCAGCAGACCTTTACTGTACTGTGAGATTTTTTGAAGACCAAATGAAAGACTCTGTGAAATAAAAATACGGAAGTATGACATAGTTATTATTTGAACTTGACTCAAATGCTTAAATGATATACATTTAAAAACAAACAATAGGCTGGGCGCGGTGGCTCAAGCCTGTAATCCCAGCACTTTGGGAAGCCGAGGCGGGTGGATCTCGAGGTCAACAGATCGTGACCATCATGGTCAACATGGTGAAACCCCGTCTCTACTAAAAATACAAAAAATTAGCTGGGCATGGTGGCGCGTGCCTGTAATCCCAGCTACTCGGGAGGCTGAGGCAGGAGAATTGCCAGAACGCAGAGGCGGAAGTTGCGATCGCGCCATTGCACTCCAGCCTGGGTAATAAGAGCAAAACTCAGTCTCAAAAACAAACAAACAAACAAACAATAGAGCTGTAATCAAACAGCATAAACAAAATTCATCTGCTGATGTAGAATAACTGCAGTGGTATAAGGAAGTGAGGCATTTTGGAGGTGATTAGGTCATGAGGATGGAACTCTTATGAATGGGATTAACGCCTTTATGAAATAGGCCCCAGAGAGCTGTCTTACACCTTACAACATAGAGAACACAGGGAGGAGGTCCCATTTATAAACAAGGAAACAGACCCACACCTTGACCTCGAACATACTAGCCTCCAGAGTTGTGAGAAATGAATTTTGGTTGTTTATAAACTACCTAGTCTATGGTATTTTGTTATAGCAGCCTAAGTGAACTAAGACACTGGTTTACCAAAATAGTTTTATAGGGATGAGTTAGAGAGACAGTAGGATGAGCAGAAAATGTGACTATGAAAATTTTATAACTCCGCTGTAAACCTATCCGATTAAATTATTGGGAAAAAATTGATGAAGGAAACAATAGCTAATGCTTGAAAAATGATTTTAACTTTTCTAAGATTTTGGGTTTCATTTATTCCTTACATTTTCCTGTGTGTACATTCAAGAACAAGTCAAATCAATTAGAACAACACTCTTTGAGGTTGAAACAGCCAAGCCATTCCTCAGGAGAAATTAGTCCTTAAGAATTCTAGGACACTATAGGATTTAAAGAACTGGTGAGGGATTAAAAGTTCACACTATTTTGGTAACCAAGTCCAGTGAATTTTGAAACTAATTATTGGGCTTTTTATTACATCAAAAGTAGATAGTGGATAAAATCATTTTATTTATGTCCCGAGTATTTAACTTCATCTCTTTTCCCCAGTAAGTGATCCAAAATTAACTTTGTCACTTTCCCAAAAATAATCTTGAAGTCAGTGCTCAGAACTGAGATAATAATTTCAGTAGAACTGTGCTTCACTTAAATAAATAAGTAAAATGAATTAGGTGAATTGTATTCATTTTTAGTATGTCAAGATTTCAGGTTCTTTTTTTCCAGTACAGCAGAGTAAGATGCAACACTCCCTTGGGTTTTGTTGAAGCCCAACAAGAAGAGTTCGTTAATTTAGTATGGTATTGCATTAAAAAAGACATCATGGGCCAGGCACCGTGGCTTATGCCTGTAATCCCAGCACTTTGGGAGGCTGAAGAGGACAGATCATGAGGTCAGGAGTTTGAGCCCAGCCTGGCCAAGATGGTGAAACACCATTTCTACTGAAAAATACAAAAATTAGCTGGATGTGGTGGCACGCACCTGTAATCCCAGCTACTCAGGAGGCTGAGGCAGGAGAATTGCTTGAACCCCACAGGAAGCAGAGGTTGCAGTGAGCTGAGATCACACCACTGCCCTCAAGCCTGGGTGACAGAGCAAGACTCCATCTCAAAAAAAAAAAAAAAAAAAAAAAAACATCATGTTGGTTTCAATATAGTTAGGGTTAGTGTTAAAACCCAACAGAAGAATATGGTCTTTGGAATCAATTGTAAGAGCTTGTTGCAAGCTACTAAACAACATTGAACCTTTACTGTAAAGTAAAAATAATGACACCTCCCTAGTAGTATTTAAGAGATGAATTAGATGAAGTATATAATGGGCTTAGTGCAGTAGCTGGTAATTTTTTCTTAATAAATTAATAGACACTTATTGCTAATAATACAAACATTCTTTTCTTTTCTTTTTTTTTTTTTTTTGAGACGAAGTTTCGTTCTTGTTACCCAGGCTGGAGTGCAATGACGCGATCTCGGCTCACCGCAACCTCCGCCTCCTGGGTTCAGGCAATTCTCCTGCCTCAGCCTCCCGAGCAGCTGGGATTACAGGCGCGCGCCACCATGCCCAGCCAATTTTCTGTATTTTTAGTAGAGACAGGGTTTCACCATGCTGACCAGGATGGTCTCGATCTGTTGACCTCATGATCCACCTGCCTCGGCCTCCCAAAGTTCTGGGATTACAGATGTGAGCCACCGCTCCCGGCCCATTATTTTCATAAATAAAATCACTTTTATAATTTTCTCATATAAGGTGACCTTTACAATTCAAAGTGTTTTTTTGTTTGTTTGTTTTTGATTTTGTTTTTGTTTTTGTTTTTGAGACAGAGTTTCACTCTTGTTACCCAGGCTGGAGCGCAATGGCGCAATCTCGGCTCACCGCAACCTCAGCCTCCAATTCTCCTGCCTCAGCCTCCTGAGAAGCTGGGATTACAGTCACGTGCCACCGTGCCCAGCTAATTTTTTTTTTTTTTTTTTTTTGTATTTTTAGTAGAGACGGGGTTTCACCATGTTGACCAGGATGGTCTCGATCTGTGGACCTCGTGATCCACCCGCCTCGGCCTCCCAAAATGCTGGGATTACAGGCATGAGCCACCGCTCCTGGCCAATTGACTGCCCAGCATGTAAATAAACACTTACAATGTGAAAGGGCTCCCAAGATAGGTGAAAACTGGGTCATACTTACTGCTATGAAAACTTAAAAACATGTTGTTTCTTTCTCTCTCTGACCAACTAGATGTTCCCACTGTGGAAAGCACAAATGTATACTCACATGGCTTAAACTCGAAGAGCACTTAAAAAAAATTCTGTTTAATTAAAAATTTACACCTAATTTGTCATTACCTTTTAGTCATTTTCAAGTATTTTTTGAGAACTGAAACCAATTTTCTCACTCATTAAGTTATTCCTTTTTATTTATTGCTTATATATTACATATAAATATATTAACATTTGTAACTTTTTTAAAATTTATTATTTCTGTGAAAAAAAGATAAGTGACCAATGAGCAGGTCACAGTGAAAATATCTCATGATAAATGAGGAAAGAAAATTAAATGATACTAGCAAACATGAGAAAGTCAATTGTATATCTGTTATGGCTGAAACTTAATTGAAGATTGCATAAGTCTAGTTGTATTGAATACAGTGGCAAAATTATGCTATATTCCATTTATTTTTAGTACTACTTGGTCCTCAAAAAAAATCATTAAGCATTGTTTTTCCTACAAGTATTTTATTTCTGATTTTAAAAGACTAGGGTTTATTATAATGCTGAGTTTTTAATGACATTTTTATCCAGGCCAGTTTATGGTATATTGTATTTCATTAACATCCATTGTCATAAAAGCTTTTTAATTTATGTTCAGAAGACATTGAGAACCTCTATGAGATATTGAATCTGACCAAGTTATAATGTAGTTGTATCTTTGTGTACACTACTGGGGTTTAGTTTTCAAAAGCCCCAAACATAGCACAAATGAATGATCTCAGCTGTCAGGAGTCCACTTGTAGGTGCAGAGTAACCACTCAGTAATTTAAAGTTGATTGATTCTTCCACTGTTCATGCACTGTCCTGGCCAGACCTAAAAGTAAATTAATGTTTAGACTTTGATCAGAAGATAAATCACATTTCTAGTTTTGGAAATCATTGAGCAGAATTACTAGTAATGGACGATTGTTATTGTGTCATTCCACTCCCGTGAAAACATAGAAGAAAGCAAAAGTTTGGCATAAAGGCAATAATCCACTCCCTCCCTCCTATGTAACTCTCCACTTCCATTTAAAAATGAGATTATAGCGTGTAGTGGGCA